ATGTTAAGACTATTTGTACCTCATGAGTTTGATATGGAAAACCAGGAAATAAATTAGATAAAACTCATTTCGAAGATGAAGATTTGTGAGCATTTAACTTCTACAGAGTACTGTTGTTTTGAATTTAGCGATGACGGAAAACTTGAAACTGAGTGCTGAATTAAGCAGGAATTTTTTCAAAAATAGATTTGGAAGAAACTATATACATGTTCTAGATGTTGTAACGGAGATCTATACTCCCACTGAATAAACATGACGGTCGAATAAATTTCAACTAAAGAACCGTACAAATAGATACTGGTCGTATCATATTTACTTGATAACAAGATAGTTTGAAGATTATTATTCAGTTTTCTTTTTTCGTTCACAAGAGACAAGAACAAATTCTTGAAAAAACTTAATGAAAACGTTTCCATGCTATCTTCCCTATCCATAATGTTTGTTTTCAACGCATTTTGAACATATATCTGATAGTCTGAGTTAGCTTTGGAGTTGAATACGTTTTATTGGTTTCAGTTTTTACTTTCAATTAGGATTTCTTCGATTTGACAATTTTTTTAGGGCAATTTTTTTTTTGTCACCGACAAAAACTTTGAAATTCTAATCTTCGCCAGCTTTTAGGGAAGCCTAAGGGGAGCGCAGATATAAAGATTTGGAACGTTGTCATGTTGTGTACAACGAGGATTTAAGTTACTTGGTACTCAAACGTATATCAGTTGAACTGAAACATGAAGCTTAGAAGAGAGTGATCACATACAATCTTATGTTAGAAATTAGGTGTCCAGAGCCTCTGATGAACCCTTTAACTGCATGTGTTTGATAGAAATTCTATCGTTAAATGTAAAACGCTTACCGGCCGATTACTCGCGGGTAATCTGTTAATTTTTCTACAAACAGTGGTTGATGCGGGTTATAGGAAGGTGTGAGTAATACGATAATTTTTAAAGCATCCGGTCTAGTTTAAAGACTATAAGCAAGAAGAAAACAGAGATGATAAAATCCACTTAAGATGCTCTTCAAAAATCGTGCGCAATGACTCATTTATTTCGCGCAGATTGTTTATTATAATAAGAGACTCGAATGCTCTCGACGAAAGCCGATGCAAATCGAAAACATACCCTTACCTTGTCAATTTCAAAGCTTGTTTCTTTGTTAATTTCAAAAACCCTTAACCTATTTTTTTGTACCTTTGTGGTATATAATAAAACAATTATTTACCTCAGTGAATACCACCACGATTCACCTCCGCTTCGGTGAATAATTATTATCTACATCATTAATAAATGATGGTTCAATTTTAAGAGCTTTGAAACTTACAAAATTGTCAGCTTTCAATCCCAAATATTAGAGTTTTTTAAATCGTATTATTAGTGATGCCATGTATACTTTGTATTAATTACAACCAGTAGGGAATAAAGCCAGAGAATATTATTAACTCGAATTAAAGACGTAGGAAATTTTGGAACCCTTGGAATATGATGTTGATATTTAACCTACAACAACAAGGGTTGGTGACGATATTCCATTTTTTGTGCCTGTGAAAAATTTTCATCATAAAGTAATGAGCGTTCTTAACAAATACATAATTTCTTAGTTTGTTTTGTCTCTGTAATTTATTAATTTCCAGTGCTTTTCAATCATTGAGGTTACCCGCCATTCAGGCTTCGATCAAACTCATACGAAAATGGGGTAATTTAGTGTTATCAACTGAGTTGACAACGTAAATGGGCCACCGTAAAGAGTTTAAGGGCAGACGTTTCAGCCCTTCGTCAGAGTGAAGTACGAAAATGGAAATTTTAATATGTTATGTTCGATGCACAATACACCGACTAAACTTTTTCCGCCTCATAGCACTTCAGCTGTCGTCCATTAAAGATATATTTCCTTTTCAGACGTCCCTAATAATACACGAAAGATGTTATTTCGGAAATGAAAATACTCATGGATAAAGTGTATCTCAAAAATAACAAAAATTTTGTCCGTGTTAGTTCTCAGTTACAGGGTTTTTTAACTTTTAACGTTTGGGGTTGCGGAGAAGTGAAACTTTCAAATGAGCCGACCTTTTATTCCCAAAGACATTAACCTTGATAACACTTAGCTCCTTTGAGAACAAAGACACTCACCATCTAAATAAAATTTTGGAAGGGATTTATGGACCTGTCCAGTTATTTTAGATTGCTTTCTTTCAAACCGAAGGTGCTATTGTCGTGGGGTATCTCTACTTTTATCAAAAATTAAGATTCGTTGAAAGCGACTTCCTTCATGCAGTCGAACCTGTCCATAACACAAAGTAAAAACTTAAGCTCTTGCGCTAATGGGAGGGACTGCTTGGGATATATCAGTCGACGTGGAGTTTTCCTAAGAGGCAATTGACAACTAGTGTACCAATCGACAACTCTACTGGTTGGAACCTTTGATCAGGCTCCGGCAGTCTTCGCTCAAAGAATACCATCTACGTTTTGGTAAGAAATCAGTGACAACTGCCTGACGAGCCACTATGATGTTTACGAACGATTCACTACAGCCGATGTCGAATGAAACCGAAAATCATTTGTCGTGCGATCAGATGTTAGAGAAGACATTCATAATCCTTAACTCCATTACAGGTGCAATCGTTGTTTTTGGTAATGCAGTGGTGTTTTTATCGATAGTGTTTACTTCGCGTCTTCGACAGCAAAAGGTGAACTTGTTTCTCGCGTCTTTGGCTATCGCGGACATGATAATGGGCGCATTTGTGGCTCCTGGCTATGCAACATTTTGCTTGGGTTGTAGGCAGTACGCGGTGAGTAATTACTGCTGGCTTCTTGAATTTCCGAAAGACGTTGTCCTCGCCGGGAGTATCACTAATCTATTCGCCATTTCCTTCGATCGCTATTTAGCAGTTTTCCGACCTCTCCAATACGAGAACGTTATGACCAGACGTCGATGTGTGAACATTCTAATCGCGGTGTGGAGCGTCTCAGTCAGCACTGCTGTCGTGCGCAGCACTCTCTATCTTACAATAACTGGCCCCGAAATAACTGCCGTCAACGGGGTTTATAATAGCATACTCATGGCAGTTGTTCTCGTCACTCCTTCCGTACTAGTTTCCATTATCAACATCAAAATCATAATAGCGATCAGAGTACAAGGTCGTCAAGTGGCTGTGATGCGAAACCCACAGGATGTAAGTGAAGCTGAAAACCTTGAAGAAATTCGAGCAGAAGCGAGCCGGAAACGAAAAGGGACCATTGCTTGCGCCCTCGTGGTTATAATATTTGTGGTTTCGTGGATTCCACGGATCTCATTTAACATCCAATACCTAGTCAGTGGAGACACCCATGAAATTGACGCACTGCTGCAAAAGCTGTCTATGTTTTTCCTTCTGATGCAGTCTTCAGTGAATCCTTTCATATATTCGTTTTACAGAGCTGACTTCCGACAAGCCGTCGCCAGATTACTGAGACTCGGTACTTAAGGTATGGAGCAAGTTCCCGTAGCTTACAAAATCGTTTGATACAGAGCATGCGCATTGTCGAGCAGGAGTGAGAAAAAGCGGTTGAATTCGCAAGGAAGGCAAGCATGCAAAAGTATCCGTATACGAGTTTTCTTGGTCGTCCTTTAGGATTTCTTTAAGAATAGGAAAATCTCAAGAGAGATCTTGAAAACTAAACTCGGTGCCGAGAAATTTCAGAATTCCGCGCGTTTTGAAACGTTTTCATCTAGTCCCCAAAAACTGACTAACTCGACATACCATGGCTTGACATGTATGATGACGTCACATGTCATTGCCCTGGCGATCAAGTGCGACCAACTTACACTCAGAGGAAATGAAAAACAGCTTCTGTAAAGCGCAATGAGCGAAAAGAAAAATCCTCCCTAGGGGGCGAAATGCAAGCGTTGGCCATTACAAGTCCGACCAGGTCATGATCAACATACGGCAGGAATCATCAGACCTCAGACCTTCGAGAGGCCGAAACTTTCGCAAGCAACCATCGCCATGACAAACCTCAAGTCCAGTTTAGCTTCTGTTAGAACACTAATGATATGAGAATTTAAAATCTTCTCCGGGCTGCAACTTAATAATCACAGTCTGTTATTCTCTAAAAACGTAAATCGTAAATCTAACCTTTTCAAGGGTTATAAGTATATCATACGACCGTATCGACTAAGTATTTCCATCCCGGTCGAGAAGGGAGCGCTGTAATTACACATAACGGCAATAACAGTACGTAAATGTTACTAGAAAGAACAAGCACGAGAGGAGAGAGAGAGAAAAAGAGAGAAAGAAAGCGAGTGTGAGTACTTTGGTTGCGTTAATTGAGTGCATGAAGAGATAAGTCGCACACTGAGTGAGTCAACGGATAGGTGGTTGGATTCATCTCATTGATTGAATGGGTGACGTAAATGGTCTTTTTCTTGAGTTAGTGGAAGGGAATAAGACTCCCTGACTTTCTAAGTGAGAGATAACAAAACAGACAAATAAATTGGTTAGTGATATGGGCACTACTGCGGGTCGAATTATTCGATCGCTGGCTGACTGACCAGTAGAGTAGATTACTGTTTGTTTTTTCTTTTTTGAATTTTTTCTTTTTGATGAAGTGTTTTGTTGGGTGAGTGGATGGTTGACGCAAGAATATGCTTTAACTGAAGTGGGTGACTCAGATTAGTTTACATTCAATAAGGTTGTGAAATCTTAGAAAAAATTAAGTCACTTGAGTAGCTTGGAGAGGAAAATAAACACCCTTATACATGATATGATATGCGAAACGTGCAAATATCTCCCCTTAAGGAAAAATGAAAAAGCACTTCTAAGTCACGTGGTCCTTGTTCATTCTGTCAAGAAAAACAAATAAGTTTTACTTGCTGTCATACAATACACGAGTCTCCGCCTTGAATCTATTCTTTTTATTTTTTTTAATTCAGTTGATGAAAGTTAAAAAAAAAAATTATGTCAAGAGTCCAACCGTGGTAATTTTTGTTATTTACCATTCCATTTAAAACAAAAAAGCCGCTTCAGCTGCAACAAAAGAACTTCGACACTTTTGCAAAACTTCCGACGTTGTTTGCCTCGCTTTTAAGTTCCTTGTCTTGTGGGAGGTTGGCAACTTTCAAACCCGTTACTAACCGTAACTTTTCACCCTATTTCGATTTAGATGATGGCAATTCGACTTCCTTACGAAATGCCTCCTTGGCTGACTTCAATCAAGGAACAAACACCAAGGTCTTTGCCGTGAATGGTGTCATCGCGCAAATTTGACGCGCATTGGTGGTCCTTATACGCAAACTGCAAAGACTACGTGTCTGCTCTGCGGTTTCCATTTCATTTAATTGTTAAAATAGGCGCAGATGAGATGTCTTTCAGTAAGGGCAGCTGTTACAACACGACGAGAATTGAGTAAATAACTTAAATATATGAAGGCGAACGAACTTTGTCGTTAGAATATCTGTATCCCTCGGGAGCAAGTCATCGCCTTCGTGAATAGCTGGATATGATATTCTCAAAAAGAGAGAACAACTGCTTCTTTTACAAGCTGTTTCAGGAAATATAATGGCATAAAACAAACTCTTAAGAGATTAAAAACTTGAAACAATTTTCTCCTCAATATTTATTCAGCCGCAAGGTTAAAACGTGCATTCAGACAACAGCGTATTTTGTTTTCTAACGGAAATTACAACTCTATTATTCAAATAACTCTAGTTCAGATGACAGAGAGGGAGAAGTGTCTCTGCTCCTGTAACTTCAAATTTTATGGTTTTCTGAGAATGAAATGTTTTTATCCTTTGAATACGCTGCGTTTTCGCTAATTGTTGATATTAATATTTCAAAATGTCACGCACAAACTCTAAGCCTAGTGAATTTCAATGCGATCAAATCTTAAAGAGACTTAGCGGTAATAAGAGTTCATAATTCCTGAAGTTTTAATTCAGTCGGTTGTTCGTTTAAATCTGGCCCCACTCTCGATTCTTGGGTGTCGAAGCGCTTTCTAGGTTGATCGATATGTTCAGAACTTTTTGATCCTAATGGAATCACCTGTCGCATTAAAGTTTTTGCGCCTCTGCGAAAGTCGCTTCTGTAAAAGGAGTATAAGAAAGGGTTGGCAGACGATTGCAGGAAAATAAATACCAAAGATATCTTTTCAAGAAGGCGCAAGCCTTTTTCCTGAAGAATTTTAAATAAAAACATAAAATTCAACAAGCATCGGGGAAACCAACAAATTAAAAATACCACTACAACGATCAAGCAGGAAATTGTCTTTCGTCGGTTGTCTTTTGGTTTTTGGTCTCCTCTGCTTTCCTGTCGTTCGAAATGTACTTTCCGAAGCTGATTCTTTATGGCTTTTGTCACCATAAAGTTTACGATGAATATAATCGTCATTGGAAGGATTACGAGCGTTAGTACCACAAGGATGTCAAAGATAGATTCACTACGCGAACCTTTTTTTAGGAAGTCCACTCCCGCATCGTTAATAATCGGTTTTATGAAGGAAAATGGGATTGGCAGTAGCCAAGTTATTCCTAAGACGGCAGAGACTTTTCGTGGCGTCATTTTGCACTGATAACGAAGTGGTTGAATAACTGCTAAATATCTGTCATAAGTGATTCCGAGAAGGCTGAGGACAGACGTCAACCAAACGAAGTCCTTTACGGCGTCAAAGAATCTGCATGTTTCTTCATCTACGATCTGTTTCAAACTGAAATTCTTGGAGCAGTTTGTGCAGAACGCGCAGTGGCCTGGAATTACCAAAATGGAACCAAGAATATCAGCCAATCCGAGACTCACCAAAAATATGTTCATGTAACATCCTCGGAGCTTAGGATTCGCCAAAAATACGATGCAACAGAAGGTATTTCCCGCGAAAATTGCTAGGCCTAAAACAATGTACACGATTAGAAATGCTTCGTCCAAAGCTTCGTTGCAGTAATACTCAGTGTTGGGTAATTCGCGAATAGAAGAAACGTTCTCTCCTTCTGAAGACATTACTTTCTTCAGCCGAAGAAAAATCAGTGCTTGATGGTTTTGAAAATGAACCAGTTACGTTCGCAAAGGACTACCTGAGACCCTTTTGTCTTAATTTATAAATTCGTGTAAAAAATTGTGAAAAAAAAGAATCGAGAGGAAGGTATGAATAGTTTTGCAGGTGGTTCACTTCAATGCAAAATGCAAACTGTTACCGATTTCCAACGGGGAGACCGTGCTTTTCTAATTTATTTATGGCAACGATTGAAAAACAGCCAATGACATAACCTTCACAAAAAATTCATTTGCATTCGCTTTTGTTGACGTTGCTCAAATGTTAGAGAGTAAACACGAAAAAATAGTTCAGTCTTACTGCATTTTAATTACTCTCTGGCTTTTTAATTAGTTCTATTAAATGGAGCGCCAATCATTTTTTTTTTCATTTTATTAATCCACTCTTTTATCTCAAGAAATGAACACTTCAGAACACCGAAGTGAATTTTACGGAGGAGGAAAACAACCTGAAGCTGACATGCCTTTTCATTTCCTCTCAGTTGATCTCGACAGCAAACTGACAAATTTAATACCATATGACAAAGGAAAAACAATACTGAAATTGCCTCCGAACGAGCGAGCAAACAAATTAAAGATGAAAAATTTTATCGTTGCGATTGTAGGGAGCCCCGTTTTGTAACATCTTTTCTTATCTCATAATTATTCACCATAGTTTTCGCATTTCTATCGGTTCAAGATCATAACGTTTTAAAGCTTAGTTGTCTCATTGTTTTTTGAGGGTTTTTACCTCCATTTGAAATGATTTTTTTTTTCATACTGCTCTATGCACACGGAAATAGAGTCTTCTAGATTTTTTTTGAGACGCCTCTCCAATAAACGAGCATGCGAAGGCCTTGATAATTAGGAATAAAAAGATAAAGGAAACATCTGTAATTATAACTTCAAATTTATAATTAATTTTAAAGTCGATTAATAATTTATAGATTGACACCCGAACAGTATTCGCGTAGAAAACCCTTTTGATCTTGCGGTGTTTTTTATCTATTTCATTTACCAGTTGATTGACCCTAAATGCTAAACGTTGATCATATTATTTTACCTATGATGGCAAAAAAATTAATTTGGTCAAAGTGAATTTACGTAGAAATAAAGTCTTTGACGATCTTCTCCCAGCAATTGAGGTAAACGAAAGTTTCGAGTGTCGTAGTCTTGAGAGTATTGTTTTATATATCTCCCCATCTAGGTTCCGTTCTCAAAACATTCTCATTAATTTCAAAAGCTCCAACTAGTGATTTGTTTGAAGCGAATCCTTTATGGAAGATGCGAAAATGAAATTGAGATAAACAACCCGCCGCTCAAAAGACTCATACGGCATCTAGAAGTTTCTCCCCATTGCAAGTTCGCCCACTACCACCTCTGCTACTTTGCCCCTTCGAAATAAAACACGCGTGCCCCACTTTTCTCTGAGCTCGTCTTCAAATCTTTCGACTCGTTACCTTTCAGCAATACCATATTGCTTCTCTGTCAAAATCATAATATGTTTCCTTCAACGTGAAATTTGTTTTTCTCAACGACCACGAAACCACGCTACGTCGCTATGAAACGTTTAAGCCCAACGAAATAGGAGTGCGAATATTAAACTACTTCAAAACTGCTGTAAAATTGCATGTTGATCAAATTGTATTATGATTTCGACAGAAAATTAAAGGAAGATATTACGCAGTAGGAAAAAGGGTTGAAACATTTTGGGCGAAGATGAGGGCGAACTGGTAAAGGTAGGGGCGAGCTTGTTTTACTTCAAGAGGCGACCACGTAAAGGTGAGAGCGGGCCACTTGCAGTGGGGCGAAACCATTATAAAGCGCCTAAACGCACTGCTCCTCTCGTACATTTCAGCTGGAAGTATATTGGCACAGCGTAACAAAATTTGTTTGTAAAATTTATAGGCATGATAGGAAGTGTACTATTGTACAAGCTAACAATGCCTTAACACATAAAGGCCGCCCGCTAGGATTGCAACAACAATACTGTTTGCTATGTTATTAGCTAGGAAAATAATAAGCCTGGCGTCATAAAGATTCCCTCTCGAGCTCCAGCACTGATACTGAGTCATAGAAATGAACAAATTAAAGATCCTACGTTCTTAAAACATATTATTTATATTATTACAAATAATACCTTCTTCACGCGTTTTGTCAGCAAATTCCCAAGAATAATTCATTTTCTTTATTTTTTTCCTTGCCTGAAATACATTATGTCAACTTTTGCTTACCATTCTTTAAAATTTCCATGGCATGAAAAGACACGACATAAATTATACTGACGTACCTATTTGAAAAGATTTCATTTACAAACTGCCACAGAGCAAATATGGGGAAAAGCGTTTGATTTAAAAGAGAATCAAGACAATGTCCGCTAATGAATTTTTATCATGTGTCTAATCTGTTTTTTTTTTATAATTCAAATAGTGTTAAAACTTAGATATGTTGTGCAAAGTAAAAAGAGAACCGTGCCCGGAAGATTTTACGTGCCATTTATATCAATCCGATCGCGAAAATCTAAATTAAAGATTTTTTCACAGTTTAGAAGTGGTTTGCAGTGGTTGGTAATTTTTCTGAAGTACATATGCGTCAAAAGTGTGCGACAGTTCTCAAAACATTCACTGAAAGGGCAGAATTTTATATAAGCCCACAAATATCTTTTTTGAAGTCTGAAGAGATTTATTAAATGAAAGAGATCGATAACCTCCACTTACGCTGGGATTTGTACATCATATTTCCTACGTACTTATGCGGATTGAAGATTTCACAGCCAATCCGACACAGATCTGTCTGTATTCCACTATGAAATTGTCCAAAAGCACGCCACGTTTTTTTTTTTTTTTAATTTATTTCAATAATTCACATTTTCAATTTAACCATAAAATTTTGCCGCTGATTCGAAGCTGCAACCTAACTGACAAGACTGATAAGACCTGAATCGGAAACTGGTGTCGTTAATATAACTTCACTTTGCCTGCCTAAAATTAGTTCAGAGACTTCATGTACTCATTATCCATCCAAACTTCATCCTGCTGCAATAACCGGGCTTGAAGTAGAAGTAGCAAAATAGAGCGATGCAATAAAGAATGTCTTTGAATAAACAATTAGTTTTAAAATTTAGACTGACAATAAAGATTACTTTTGGCTTATCAAAACGACGAAATGTAATAAAGGATATGTTATCTTTTGCGAACAATAGGATAATTTAGTATTGTGAAAAAAAGGAAATAAGTTTCTTGAGCAGCTTAATCTTTTTAGGTCTAGGATTCGTAGATGAAAGATTGTATCTGATGTAAGGCCAATTTAACACTTCGATCTAAGTTAAATAACCTTTTCAATTGCTACTGCAGCTGCCGAGAAAAAGAAAACGCAGTTCTGCCGGATTTTTTCTTTGAATAAACAGTAGAAAGGAAACATTTGGGATGATACAGCATATCAGACTGAAATTTTGATCTGAAGCTGACTCCAAGTTGAAGTGATAACCTTAGCTGTCTAGAAGTCCACTAAAATATCAGATATGAAAGGATTTCAAGGGGTTCCATGCAACCCTACGCTGGATGTTGTTTTCTGGGTCATCAATAGCGTCATCGCCGTCCTGATGTTGGCGGGAAACTCTCTTTCGTGCGCGGTGTTTCTAAAGACCCGATATCTTCGCCGCAGCTTCATGAACATCTATCTCGTGAGTTTGGCCATTTCTGACATAAGCATGGGACTATTTGTTGTGCCGTTCTACTCGGTTTTTTGTTCTGGTTGCAAGTATTCACTCACTAAATACTGTTGGGCGATCAGATTCCTGAAAGGTTTTGCCTTTGGAGCTAATATTTTTAACCTTTTAGCTATTTCATTGGACCGCCATGAAGCCTTCATCAACCCTCTTCGTTATACCTCTAAGATGACAAGAAAGAAGTTGGTTTTCATCCTCGCCATGGTCTGGGGAGCACCAGTCCTTTTGGCTGGTACAAGAAACTTCTGGCAGCACAGTAGTTCAAGAGAGAAGGCTCTTTTCATCGACAAAACATATTCAATTATTTTGACTTTCATTTTCGTTATTATTCCTTTCTTTTTACTACTTGGAATTAATTTTAGAATTCTGATTGTCATTAAAAAGCAGGTTCAACGAATTCACGTCGCCAACGCAGTTCAAAATTTCCCTTCAAATTTATCTACAAAACGTTCTCGTGCAGTGAACAATGTAAGAAAGCTGAAAGGGACTCTAGCTTGCGTTGTTGTCGTCCTAATCTATGTTTTATGTTGGTTACCCCGTATATTTTACAATTTTTGTTTTCTCTTTCGTCGGAAAGACTTAGTCAGTCCACTTCTAATCCACCTCTCATTGTTTTTCTTGTTTTTGCAATCATCTTTAAACCCATTCATATACTCATTTTACAGAGTGGAGTTTCGACAAGCTGCCTCTCGTTTATTACGGTGCCGCCCTTACTCAACAGTTGAGATAATAACGTCATCCCGAAATGCACATACAATTGATTAACCAAAAGGAGAGCGCTACTGGCTGTAAACTTATGTAAATATTTGTCTCTGATTTTAGCGTAAAATTTCAAGATTAGAGTAATAAATAAGCTTCTTTTAACCTTTCCTTTAACCATATCATGTTCCTATAAGAATGCTTTTCTTACAGCTGTTCAACGTGATATAACTAAACAACGCCAGTAATCTCTCTTCGAAAGGGGGCCTACATTTTCAACTAAGAGCATTCATCGAAGATGAAAATCGCAAATTGAGGAATAAATGCACGATGTACAGAATGTTCAGTAAGAAGAAACATAAATAAAGAATCATGTCGAACTGTGCACGTATCGTATTTCTTGGGAGTTCATTTAACATAACGGAGCAAAAAAATAATGGTAGGTTGGTTTGGATCGAGGAAAAAACGCTTGTAAAACTTTTCAACAAAAGTTCCTAATAATATTAATAACATAGTTTTTGGGCGCATTTAGAAAACTCAATGCGCTTACGTTACCATGGAGAAAAACTAAATAAACTAGTTTAAACCTACAAAATAACTGGTTAAGAATAGGTGACATGAAAGCTCGGTACAGTTCCTGGTAAAATAAATCAAAAATAAAATTTCCGAAACAAGAATGTTTTGAGGGCAGATTTAAAAGATGAAAGAGATGTTGTATTTTTAACAAAATGTGGTAGATTGTTCCATAGAATGTAGGTGCGGAGAAAGAAAAGGCACGTTCACCGTATGTCACAGAGTTCACAATAGGCATAGTAAAAAGTATTTTAGGGGATGAGCGTAGGCTTCTTTGCGGGAAAGTCCATGGATAATCTTGAAAGTGATGAGCAGAACTTTGAATATAATGCGAGACTCAACAGGTAGCCAGTGTAGTTCTCGAAGAGCAGGTTTGATGAGCTCGTATCGTTTAGTTCCAGTGATGAGACGTGCTGCAGTGTTTTGAATTCTTTGAAGTTTATCGAGTTCCTGTTTAGGGAGACCATAAAGGATACTATTACAGTAGTCCAGACGTGATCTTACTAGTGCATTAACTAACAGTTTGAGATTTTCCTCAGTGATTTATCTGCGAATGCGACATATGAACCTAATGGCGTTAGTTGCTTTCTTACTTGTCTCGTTTATGTGGTATGTCACTGATAGCTATTATCTTAGTTTACACTAATATCACAAACTCTCTCAGTTAGTTCAACGACGGTATTGGCAAAAAGAGAGCTTCTCGATGTTATAGGTGTCTTGGTGGAACGGGATGTAAATAGAATAACCTCCGTCTTTTCAGCATTACTTCTTAGCATGTTTTGCGGTTTATTAATCCGGATTGGAGTTAACGGGTTTCTACTTAAATAGATAAGATACCTTTTGGGATGTTATTTTTCTTTACTTCTCTTAGACCACGTGGCGTTTACCGGTAAAAAAAACTGACTCTTTTATCATTTCCATGTTCTAGTAAAAGTGCTCTTCTTAAATGTGTCCATTGTGATAAAACCGAACAACACTAGTACTAAATCTCTCATCAAATAGGGCCTGCTGCATCTTCAACTAAGAGCATTCATCGAAAATGAAAAATGTAAATTGAGGAATTAATCAAGAAGAGTAGTGGTATTGGCTTGGAAACCTCACTGGTTGAAATCATGATTGAGCTCAAGATAAAACTAAGACTCACGTTCCCAGTTTTATCATCACAGTCTTGGCAGTTGCGATGAAGGTTCCTTACGTTAATACGTGGGATGGAAGATGACTCATCTTTTTACGTGTGTGCTTACTTAAACGTTTTGAGCAATAATACTTTTTTTTTCCTAATAAGAAGTCGAGGAAAATCGAAAATTTATCGATAAAGTACTAAGTGAAATATCTATCCAACGTGAAACGCAATTAGTTATATGATGCATTTTACGAGTTATTAGAGGTGAATATTTGAGAGACTTATTCCCCCTTTTTCTCTTTTTCATTGTGAGCTGAACTGATCGTAAACTCTCAGACCATCGTCAACTGTTGGTCTTCAACTTTCCATCGGTCATTTTTGCTGATTCATGGATCTAAAAATGGCACACTGATAAACTGACCCGATAAAAAAAAAACAGGCCAAAGGAGAGTGCTCATTACCTAATGGAAGCTTTTCTTTGTTTGCCTAACGTGTTCTTGACAGACAACAATTATCTTTCAATTATATTGTACCGAGTTCAGAGGATGTGAACACATCACAGAAAACAGCAAAAGCTACACTTGCAGTTATTTCCACTCATCATGATCAGAGGCACTTCTTTTTACGGATGAATGATAATTCAGTAACTTATTTATGATCGGTAAAACCTACGTTCACTTTACAACGGACGAATTTTATGTATGTGAAAAAAGAAAAGAAACGTGAAATAAAAGATAGAATGTTGTTGCAGTCTATATCACCGGAATCGCTCGTTTATTTGTTTAACTATGGAAAACAGCTGACCCGTCCGAGGCTCTCTCTAATTTTTCACGCGCGGTCGCAGTTCGCGGAAGAGGACCCTGGCTGTCTCGACGAAAGTATGATGGGAAGGAGGAAAGGAGAGAGTTTCCCTTTTCCTATAATTTCTTTTCCTTTTTTACATAAACTGCAGTGTTTAATGTACCCAGTCCTGACAAAAGGCGTAACCGCACACTTGCAAAATTACGATAATTGTTTAGGAGTGTTTGATATCGCCAATCAGTTGTTGACCTGTCACTCGTCTTACGCGTCCCTCTGTCAGGATGAGTAGCAAAGTGTTTACAATTAATAAAGTCACTTTCCTTGTTCGTAAAGGTTTGTAGACAAAAAAAAAAGACATAGTTGCTGGTAGATATTGAATTTCTCTCTTCTTGTTCAACTTAATATCGACTTGAACACTCGAAGAGATATTGCATATCTATTTGGATGAATATGGTTATTGGCACACCTTAATGCATAACTGACATTTTAAATAAGCGGGAGTGGTGTTGTCTCATCATTTTACAGCACTTGTTTAAGTGTTTTACCTTCAGATCATAACATCCTATCGGAAAACGCGAGTGACACAACATAGCTGTCATATGACTGGTCCATGCAGCGTAAACATTTATCATGTTTAAAATGGATTTAATGCACTGTCATTCTGAAGATTAAAAGAAAACAGGAGAACTCTCAGTAAACGCCAACTTGACACATGATTTTGCCTGATAATCTTTAGCCTGAAAGGTAAGATAATTTTATTTAAGAACTTAGCGGGTACAGTTTTGTACTATCTGGCTTTGAAAGTAGAACTTTGTTTTCTTTTGGGGTGGGATGCATACTACCCTATTGAGGAAAACGTCAGTAATTCGCAACAAAACTGAACCTATATATTATCGGATAAACGTCAAATGGGCAGTATGCGGGCTTGTATGTCTTGTCGGTTGATATTGAAGTAGATTTCTATGTGGTATTTTTATTCAAATATTACTCCAAGGAAAAACGAACAAAGCCTTTTTTAATGATAAAGTCGTACGATTGTTTTTTTCTACATTCACCAATCTCTTTAAAATTTTCTAAGGGAAAATCCCACTCATTCTTTAACTCGTCGTTAACTATAACAGAAAAAGAAAAAAAAAACTTGAACCAAGTCTTTAAAAAATCGAGGTTTGTTAAGCCACAACAGCATGTTTGAAAAAACAAGTCCATTAGTTGTATCGAATATCAGAAGCTAATTGAGTTTGAAGAAGGGAAATAAAATGATTTCTCTATTTATTTTCCACCAAGGTACGACAGAGGATCGCATTACTTTGAGAGCTGACAAACGGAAAGAATTTTCAATATTATGCTTTTCATCTTTTTTAGCTCAGCTATATGCAGTTTTTTCTTTTCGTTGTTTGTTATTTTGGCTATACTCCTCCAGGCACTCATTTGTTATTGCAATTTTTACATGCAATATCTCGTATTCAAGCATCCGCTTCCCTGATGTCCATTAGATTTATCAGCGCCCGAAGAAGGGTTTTTACCGGACTCTATAAATCTTCTTTGTTTGAAAATTTCGTACAGAGCATTAAACAAACTGGACCCTTTTATTTTAAGCCCCACTCCTACCGTATTCTATGGATGGTTACCTAAAGGAGATGCTAGCTTCAGATTTTTAGAAGCAGTGATGCGTTTTGAGACGCTGGTTTTTATCGAAAAGCTGTATTTCTGAGAGCAAACTTTTAATTACGTAGGTCATACAAAGACCACATTTACATAAACAGATTACCGATGTTATGGGGTTAATGCACAAAGAGAAAGGATGACTTTCGTAAACCCTTGTTCCTGTTTTCTGACTTCTCTGGATATAACATCCTTGTTTTTAATATATCATAGAAGTATATTCCTTTTCTTTCAAGCGTTTCTGAGATTGCTCATCGAATTGCATTGAATTTTCAGCCGAGTTCGCGTGTGTACTTTTAAAGGTTGTGATGACGGCGTATGGTCACTTCAAAGTCACTTAAAATGTTAATATCTTCATCGTGTTCAGTATTCATTGCCAGTCGTTGAGGTTTTTGCCATTTTTTCGATGCTCTTTGCTCCTTGTGTTCAATATCTTGGTGATTCCAGATTTGCTTCGGAACTGACAATGAAAACAGCGACAAAAATGACAAATTTTACCCCTTTGCAAATTCAAATTCATATTGAGTGGACATACTCGTTCGTTTCCTATGACAACACGCCTGACAAAATAGAATTTAAAAGGACAATGTCAAAGCGTATTTATATAGATATTGTAAGAGGGTTGACGTCTATGTGATAAATTTATGATCAAACTCCCGAGGAAGTGATATGTTATGGCGGAGTTCAAAAAGCGCACTTAATCTTTTTAAACCCTGTTTCTAAAGAGATCTTCGGCTTGATAAATCAAAGTTCTTCCCCATAGAACTTTCGCCACAACTGTAGAGCTTATGCGTTTTAGGAAGAAGTCGGAAGAGCTCAGAATGGAGCCGGAAAATTTCCTGACTCAACATAAAATTATACAATCTTTCCAAAATCTGGACCAAACTCTGAAAGTCAACGTTGCACCTGTATAAAACCCATGCGTTCTTGAGCTCCTGAAAGCAACGTCCAACAATGCTTCGAGGTCAAGAACTCCGAAATATTTTTGTAACATTCGTTAAATAGGCTCCTCATTCATATGAAATAGCTATTACGCAAGGCAAAGAAATGTTCTACGCCTACAACTTTTGTGAAATTTTGCCCAAGCCATTAATCATGGATTTTGTTCTCTGGACGCGTAAGATCTTTTGGAGAATTTTGTGATACTTACATACTTATGTGATGCTTCGTTTCCTCGATTTCACTGACCCTGTAACCCCTAGGAGTGATCAGCATCTAATTTCTCCTTACAATATCACCCGTGAATCACACAATAGGGTCACGAGAATAATGGAAATGATCACCAACTAAAAAAGCTCTTAGATGTTTGAAAACTTCTCCTTGTCAATATCCTATTAACTGAAAAGAGAACAGTAAGCTAAATTATTGATTTCCACCTGATTATGAATAAAGACAACGAATTTATATTGTAGAAGTCTTTTCGGGATGCTGAGACAAAACAAACTGATATTCAGTTTGATAAGGCCTTCTAAATTTTAACCACAAATTTGTATCTGATGTGCTTTGAAGCACTGTGTAACGGGCTAGCTTTATATTTTCGGGAGGTTTGTCATGTGGGCTGACCGATTAACTCAAGCATTTCACTTTCTGCTCGAGTTTCATTTGAAACAAACAACTTACATGAAATGACTTAAAGAGCCAATAATGAAAATATAAAAAATAAACCGCGCAACATTTTAGCTGGTAATACCCAACCGTTACTGCTAAGATCATTCACATGATTCATTTATTAATCCGCAGTTCACATATATGATTTTCAAAAATTCACACTCGGTCATTTGATACTCAAAACCAGGACACGTTTAGTTTTTCCTGTCGTTGATATGAAGCGAATACTCTTGATTTCTCATCAGGTTAATGCTGTATTCAACTTGAAATTTGCATGTGGTTGGGTGGATGGAAATTGTTATCTGCGGCAATTTTGATTGGGTAGCCATTTTAATCAGTTGATGAAAGCTTGTCAAATAAAGTCATCCTTGGCACGGAGTGAGGTAAAAAATTGAAATGAAAGTACCTCTGCTGTAATCGTCTTATATTTTTTGTTAATTATTTTTCCTGTTTTTCTTTTGTGACTTTCATGTCTTCTTTGCATCATTATTCAACAATAAAAACTTTTACATGACGTCAACCACATGAGGTGAAAATTGGCATGCGCACAAGTCACACGGTGATTATTAGATTTATATCTGAGTTAAAAGCAGGAAGCTCTGCGTGATCTGTTCTTGTTTGTTTTGTTTTGTTTTTTCCTTTACCAATATTAGATGTTTTTTTCTCCTTTTAATGATTTTTCCACTTAGGTGGAAAATCTTTACATACAAGCTGCGACAGGTGGAATGTCTTTAACTACCTAAGATAGTTGGATACAAAATATATCGAGACTACGATATTGAGAGCTTCAAGGACTTGATTTGGAGACCGTCTAACATGTTATCGCTGACATACAACGGAAAAAAATGGATCACTTATACAGAGGGACTAAAAACAGGGTAATCTTTATTTCCTTTCTTTATTATTTTAACATGTGGTTTCCATTTGCGAACATTACGTTATGTCCGCTACATGCTGCGAAAATTGGCCTACACCCAAAGACTTTATTTTATTGGACATAACCTGCTGCGGGACTAACGTGATTGGCACACATTACTGTCACCGCATATCACATTGCCTGAATAATGTTGTTTTAAACAGCTTTGATCTAAAAAAAAACGTTTCGTTTAGTTTTTCGTCATTCTGAAAGTAATCGTACCTGAAACCTCGAGGACGACGTCACCTTGAAATATCATGAAGTAATCCCAGCCCTAAGAATAAGAAAGGACTCTACTCCATAAGGTATAAATATTCAATAGTAGGTTACAGTTTGCCTTTCGTCTTTCATTTATATATATCAACTTTCGTATTTAGTTTTCACGCAATGTAAATATTTACAGAAATATTTATGGAGTTTTGAGAGTAAAAAACCACCAAATTATGTTCCTCCGAAAGTAACGATAATTTTTTTCGGTTTTCACCAAATTCTTAAGCAACAGACTTAGATTTGGGCTTTTAAAACAAAGACCCTTTGAAAAATGCGATATTATGGTGGTATCACGCTTTTTAAATCGCAAAAAAACGTGAGAGGGATAAAAGATATTGCAAGAGTTCTTTCAAAGTACGGGCAACCACCATAGAAACCTGAAACCTTGAAACCCCAAATTTAAAAAGGAGGAATCAACTCATTCAACAAAGACAGCAAATCTGTTTGTATTGGTGAATACTTAATGCATGCATTCATTTTCGTAAAGATTTTGCCAACCTCACACAGCTTTAAATACGAGAGAGGAAAAAAAAAGGCAGGAAAAGACAGAGACAAAAAGGAAAAGCTTTTCATTAAGTATCAGCCCGACGTACGGATAGGTAAGGCGTCTTATTCTAATGAATTAAGCGTCTCTTTACAGTATTTCAGCTTTTCTGTTTTCTTGTTTCTTTTTACTCTAAACGATCAAATAGAGACGAATTGTAATCAGTTTCAACAGTATTTGTCATGATGTCAAGCAGTGAATGCAAATTAGCCTTTACTGAAAAGCCTTTGGCTCCAATTTAATAGAAACTGTATCCACAATTGTTTCCAGACTTTGTTTGCTAATACAATTCAGTCGAAGCAACACTTTTACGTGACATTTACTTATTTGGCTGCTAGCCCTTCGCCAAACATCCACGATCGCTGGAACTAATCCGTTGATGGGGTTAAATCCTGTATGTTTTGAGATCGGACGTGTTGTACTGAATCAACAGAAGGGTGAATTCTAAGATTTGTAGAGTTCCGCCTGCTTAAAAGCTTAAAAGCGGCTCTTCTGAACTCGGATCTATAAAATGAGTAAATAAATGGATTAGCGGAAGACTGTAGATAAAGAGAAAGGAAGGCCAGCCTTAGAAACAAAGGACTCGCTAATCCCGGTGGCTTGACGACATAACTAAGATTGTAAACAATTCTCGGAAGCCAACATAATACGAACATAAAGACAACTAAGACACAAGCTCTTGTTCCTTTTCTTCGTTTTCTTGTTTCATAAGTCGCTCTCCAGACTGCCCGTCTCCCTTGTTCGGTTCGTTCTCGTTCGTTTTGCGTTTTAATGGCCTTCATAATTTTCACATTAGCTACCATTAGTACAAGAATAGCGAAGATGACGAACACAATCACTAATATGGTGTCGTAAAGTTTGTTAGCGTAGCGCAATTCTTCGTTTATCTTGGAATGGTGCCAAGCGCTTCTTATTCCTGCCACGACGACGGGCGCCGTCCAAACTCCGGCCAAAATCATGATGACACGTCGCTTTGTCATTTTCGCGCCATAATGAAGTGGTCGAACCACCGCCAGATAACGATCGTACGTGATAGCACATATATTAAAAGTCGTTGCGAGAAGAACACAATCCTTTGCTTTCCTAAAAATCCAACAATATCCGGTTAAGGAATACTCGCAGCCATGGCTGCAATGTATAGCGTAAAATGGAACAACAAAAATCGCCATCAGTACATCCCAGAGCGATAAGCTTACAAGGAAGATATTCATGAAGATGTTTCGCAACCGTTTCGATACCAGCAGAACGATGCACGTGAAACTGTTCCCAATAAAAATAATGATTCCTACTGCAGAGTACAAGACCCAAAAAACCACTTCGACTTTTCTGTTGCAAGAACCATCTATGTGTAAGTTCACATCATCTGAATCGTCGCCAAATTCAGTGAGTTCTGCTAAGTTGCTCGTATTGATAGACATTTTGTACGTTTTAGATGCTTATTATTAGTAACCTTTCCTTCAACAGTTTCAACAATTTCGATCTTGAACGAAACTGACCGTAACAGTCGAGGTAATTCACGATCTGCGGTTTTCGGTGAACAGCTTGACTCTAAAATATTTGTCCTAGATATTTTACTTATAATTGTAACCCAACATAATATCTGCAAAATGTCAGTTGTGATTGACACTATTTTGAGGATTTTCGAATACTTCCTCGTCAAAGTGTACTTATACGCCAAATGCTAGTGTTAAAACGTCGGGTATAAAGTACATTGCACACTAGTGGCTTCCTTTCACACATTTTGGATGACAAATCTTATTTGCACAGCTAAAGGTTTTCAGGAATATTTACCAAGTTTGGGGAAATTTCGGTACGTGTTTCCATCAAAGACGTCACTCTCGTCATAGCTAAATTTACTGCAGAGTTCATATTTCTCTTAGTGAATGAAATCACTTTTAGAAATCGATGTTTGCTTGAAGCACCCGTGAAGAGTTTTCGGAAACAGAGCAGTGTTCGAATTCATTTTCAAATAGATATGGTTATTAACAAAATGTATAGTGCATTGTGTTTTTCCTAATACCGCGTCCATGTTGACACTGCGCTTCATCGGTATTAAATGTCATTTCAAATTTTCAAAGATTCGAGCTAGGGAGGGTTGTAATTATTCTGCCAAGAAATGAAAATTGACCCGATTTGTCGGAAGTTAAAATCGAGAGTTACTGTAGCTTAAAGATATCGGAAACAAAATTGGTTCCAGTATGGAGTGGAGGAAAACCAAGGCAAGCAGCCACGCTTGATTCGAGTTGACATCTCAAGAAACCGTGGGTTCGTAAAGGCGGGAATGAGGAGAAACTTTTTAGCTTCACTTAGATCGCGTTTGTTCCACGTAAGCTGTTGACCAATCGAAAAGAAAATGCCATTGAAACGAGTTAAGATGCTATTTAGAGCAAACCAAATAGATAATCAGATTAAATTCATTTTCGCATGTTAATTTCTGACGCAAACAGTCACATGATCCCCCCCACGTGACCCCACCTTAACACCATTCTTCCTAAATGATAGCTTTGATTTAAAATGGGGAAAACGATTCCATATATGGATCGCTTACAAATTTGTCATTTTCTTAAGAATTTTGAATGATTGCTGTTTTGTTTGAGTTGTTTATGTAAAATTTTATGAAAATTAAACAGCCCCCAAAGCAAGTTGCGCCGTTCCGCTTTTGATCATCGGTGGTAGAAGACTCAAAATGATCCTTTTTTTTTCTCTAATTTTTATCTGGTGCATGTTAGCAACTCAGCATCTCGAGAAGGAAGTGAAAAATCGAAATATCAACGTCCCATTTAAAATAGCATCTATCCCACACGAGTAAATAAAGATCATTATTTCACCTCCGTCGACTGAGATCAAATCGTTGACGTCATAAGGGGGCTATTATCGTCATTAGGTATTTTCCATTTGTATTTTCCTATCAACAATCCACTGATATGTTTACGAACACTTGAGTCAAATTGGAATTTTCCCATTATCAACACGATACCCTCTCAAATCTTACGAACAATTTCGTTAGCATCTAAATGAGCAAAAATCGTCACTTTTTTGTTTTTTCTGTCTTTTCCATGAACGCCTAAGCACCCACATAGATTTCAAGGTAAACATCTCTGTATGTTAATGCTTAAAACATCCAGATATCACGACCATATCAGGTAAATTCTAAAATTAGATTTTTTCTTCCTGTGAGTAAATCTTTATCTGACTCGACTTATGGCCAAGAAAGTAAACCCTTCCATTCAACTTTCCTCAGAAGACGATCGAAATACTACCCCAGTTTCGTGTTGCATCCAGTGGTCATGATACGGAGGAAAGCAACTGAGTAAACTTTGTGGAGACTTGGGTAAAGATCCCTTGTCAAATCTTCGACAGTTTGTTTAATTTTTCTCAAATGATAAAATTTCGGCACGCATTGATAAAGATATGAATCACGTCACCGACCTTTTAGTATTTTGATCACAGAGCCTAAAGTCACAAAACACAAACTTTATTAAACAATTCCTTCTCAGGTTTTGTTTTGCATGATAGATTTAGTGCGTTCTGTAAGTTCCAAGCGTAAGCTTGGAGCTCTTGTGACAGAAAAACTTGCACTTGAATTATTTGACGTCAAAATATCATGATAAGCATTTTATTTTATTTATTTTACGCAGAAAAATGGAAAAGTGTATATTATTTTTGTGTCACCCTTTGAGGTCATTTTGTCGCAAAAACAACAACGCTTTCTGACGCGTTTTACAAAAAATTTGATTAGATTTAATTCTTTTATTAAATGACGCGTCACGAATCAAACGGGTAAATTTTCCTTCGTCGAAAATTTAAGTGTGCAATATAAATTTCTGTTATTGAATTAAGTTCAGTAAAAGAAATTGAAAGAAAAAAAGCAAGGAAGAAGATTGATCTAGACTTTAGCCGAAACAAAATCTCGAATGAATACTATTTCTTGGTTTTTGAATGGAACTGTGGAAATCAATTGCGCCCCGGTGGAAACTAACAACAATCTGAATGCCAATTTTTATGTAAAATTTTTCGCAAGGAGCCTTATAGGTTGACATATTTATTGAACATGGGCTGAAAACACAAACAACTTCCTGAGGCACGCAAGCAATAACCCAGCAGTCTTCTGGAAACAAGATTAAATTTCACTCAGAACAAAAGCACTAGTTTTTGGGCGTTTTATAATCCACTCATTACAGAAGAAACACTAGGCTCTTTGATTGCGGAACAAAGTGCGCGAGACAAAAGTAAAGATTTCAATGTCCACGGGAAATGCTGTTATCTATTTACGAATCTCGAAATAGGTAAGTCATCTACATATGAATGTATTTTGACAGGTTTTTGGCTATTAAGGAAATAATGTGACGAATTCGCTAACGTCAAAGAAGAGCACACCTGGTGATCATACAGGAAAAAAATAAAAGAAAACCACATCGCCTTTAGCACCATTGTTACAAAGAAAACCTATCGATATCACGGAATCCTTACTGCGAGTAATTCACTTGCGGGAGAAGATCTCGGCATGGAGGGAATTTCAACGAATATCTCCTCCTTGCTTGGCAATCCCAATCACACTACGACAGAAACCTGTGATGAAACTTTACAGAAGATTTTTTGGGTCGTAAATGGCGTCTTGGCTTTGATCATTTTTGCGGGAAACACTCTAACTTGTGTGATCTTTCTGTCCACTACGATTCTTCGACAACAGATCATGAACATCTTCCTTGTCAGCTTAGCAGTTAGTGATATTCTCATGGCCATTATGGTCGTCCCAGGTTACACCGTATTCTGCGCGGGCTGTAAGTACCTCTCCACGGACACTTGCTGGATTCTAGCGCAGACCAAAGACATCGTGTTCAGTTCGTCCTTTTTCAGCCTATTAGCCATCACGTACGATAGATATTTGGCGGTGTTACGCCCTTTGCAGTACAGCAGCAAAATGACTAGAACCAAAGTCACTTGTATGGTGATAGCCATTTGGGTTATTCCTGCTCTCGTTGCCACCGCAAGAAATATATGGTGGCAGACGCAAGAGGAAGAAAAAGCTAAGGTTATCAATCAGGTTTATAACGTAATACTAGTTTTTCTCCTCGTTGTGTTACCAGCTATTATAATGACCGTTGTCAACTCGATGATTATTCGCGCCATTCGGACGCAGCGAAGGAAAACGATTCCCATGAGAGACTCATTAAGCTCGACCTCGACCGTTCAGGAATCTTCATGTGAGGAAACACGCGCTGCAAGTGTTAGAAAACGAAAAGGAACCAGTGCATGTGCTGCAGTTGTTTTAGTGTTTGTGTTGTCATGGGTTCCCCGCTCAATCTACAACTTCGCTTTTGTGGTTGGTCGTGCTGATCTGGTCACTCCCCTTCTGGTAAAACTGTCCATGTTTTTTCTTCTTTTGCAGTCATGCGTGAATCCTTTCATTTACTCATTTTACAGGACGGATTTTCGGCAGGCCGCTAAACGACTGTTTAAATTTTGCCATTAAGGAAAAGGCCGCATACGTGTAATCTATCTCAAGAGACCGTTCAACTTGTGGGTGGCCATGTTTTTTTTGCCTCTTTTTAAATTTCTTTTTCATTTTTCTGATCAAAGAAAACAAGCTGTTCATTTCGATTTCAGCTGCTTGTGTTTTCTAAGTTGCAGAACCAAGAGAGTTCTGACCGAGCATATTTGGGATGTGGGGAAAAGTTAACGATCTACTCCTTGTTATAGATTGACTTGTTAATAAGTCTATAATCTTTTTCGCAGATTTATTATAAACTTAGAACATTATTTACATAAACGACTCAAATTTCCGCCGATTGCATGGCTGTATTTGTAATGTCTTAACAATCAGATGTAGAGAGCGATAGTATTAGATACGAAATTTGTTTATTAAGCACCGAATTGCACAGTTTTGATCAAGCAGTCAGCCGTTTGGTTGCCCTTTGGGTTGCTGCTGAAGCGTTAGAGACGTAAAAAAATTTGCGCTGAAGGAGCTGACCATCTTTGACTTTTCTTTGAGTCATTGAAATCTGTTGGGAATGAAGAAAACTTATTGAGGGTACAAGAACACCAAAGATCGAGGGTTACGGATGAAGAAGATTAAGGCTTCCTAAAAATGTTCATCTTGGAAATTTCGAGCTGAATCTTTCCATGATGCACAATCCGTGACGTAGCTTCTTTAACGACCCTTTCAGCACTCGAAGTGATCAGCTTTAAATTCTCCATCATTGGCTTTCTTGTTCCTCCTTACGATCGATGCTTAGTCATTTTCAATTGAGTGTGGAAACTAATCCGGTATCGCATTGGTTTTGCTTCACTTTGCTCTGTGATTGGCCCAATAAACTCGCGCCACCCTCTCAGTTAACCAATCAGATGCAAAACTAAACCCAATCACGACCCCGTTTTCCCGCGCTTCTAGCAGCTTTGAGTTCTCATTGGCACTTGAGATTATTTGCCTTTTTTCTGATTGGTTGTTGTGATTACCTTAGTTTTGGTTTTACGACACTCAATCGAACAACGCTCTATACCAGCATGCGATAATTCCTTTAGGCTGAATGTTCCACGGTTGAAAGCGATTTTTCACGTAGTAAAAACGTTGCTAAATATCTTGACGTAGCTAGAGGAAAACTAGACTTCTTAGTTTTTTAGCATTGAATTAAACTCGGTAAATGAAGCCTGGATATCAAACTCTTTGTAATTTCAATTAAGGAAATACTTATTGACTCGGTTTCAATACCGACTTGCGTTCATTAACATAAAAAAACTGTCGTATTCATCGTTCATGTAAAGGGAAGTGAAAGAAATATCTATTAAACATGAATTCTTGAACAGTTGTCCTGATAAATTCCTCTTTGATAAGCCGCTTACCGACGTTTGTCGGCTACGTTTTGCCAAATATTTCATTCAGACAATTGTAGTGCAAGTGTACGTTAGCTCAAGAAGCCCTTAGAGGTCACGAAATATGTAAGAAGGCTTGAAAACTGCACAGTAACACGGAAAAAAAGAAAAATCTTGAAAGCACTCTATCACCACCAACGACAGCAACAACACTTCATTTGGACACCTAACGTGTTGTAGCTGTACAAGGTCGTTCAAAATACGTACGTGTAACACAATACACAATAAACATATCTTTGCATTCTTAAAACTGAGGAACCTAGTTTTCTCTGGCACAAACTTTTATCGTACACCCGTAAACCGATAGAAACTGCGCTCTACAGACGAACCTGTATTAAGCAGTCACCCTTAACAGGTTCCACAGATTAGGGTTAATATAAAAAAAACGATAACAACGCCGCTTTACGCCATAATCACATAATTTACAAAATCTCGTTTGAAGATACTACTTATTTTGATTTTGGGAGAGAAACATGGCTTAAAAATTACTTGAAAGATTATTCTTAGTTTTATTTGAGTGGTTCCGCTTTCTGTGACCTTTCAACACAGGTGGAGCCGTTGGGACTTAGTAAAGGGTGACTGCGACTGCTTAACCCTTTAACTCTCGTGAGTGACCAAGTCTGAATTTCTCCTTACAATATCAATACAATATCATGCAGACAAGTGATGAGAATAAAGAAAAATACCAATTATGGGACTACTAGTTGATCCGATACAAAATTCTCCAAACTAACATAATGAGAATCATTTGGCAGACAGTAAGGAGAATTACTAATCAGATCTTGGGAGTTGAAGGGTTAAAAGAGGTGAAAATTACAGTGATTAAAAGGAAACAATTTCGGAACTCTGACAACTGATCGTTCGATAGGGTACCGCTAGGAGCCCATTATCCGGAGCCTCCATACCAATTGTACCCTTGAGTCAACCCTGTCCCGTATTTTTTTTATTTTTAGAACTGAGATTTGGGGGGGGGTTCTTTAATTTTCCGCGAAAACACGCTGACGTTCGCATTAACTTTCCACGCTTTTCGCCATTATTATTAAACACCGTTCGTGCGGCCTGCATGTGACGTAAACAATAGAGGACCACAGCTCTCTTGTGATTGGCTATTATGTTAAACACCCGCGAAAAACCCTGTAGGAGGTGCTTCTAAAAATAAAAAGATACGGGACAGGGTTGACTCAGAGGGTAAGTATGGAAGATGGAAGCTCCGAGTGATGGGCTCCTAGTACCGCTTTATGCAAGTTCGACTGTATTTCTTTAATAAAATAACTTTCAATTTTCTATGGGTTTTGCTGGTTCAATAAACGATAGGCTTTTGACCAATCAAGAGGCTCGTAGCATCTCAGTTACTGTGTAATCTAAGACAACCATCTGAATCTCTTTTGTATCCCTTCCTCTATTCCAATCCCATGAATAATCTTCAATAAAGCAAACATCCGAGGAACGGATCTATGGGCAGATTGCTTCCGATAAAATCTGAAGACAACAGCCGTAGAACGTTCAGAGAGAGTTCCCGAATCATAGAAAAACCCACGCATGTCAGCAGGGTTTGGTGAACACCAAAAGCTTTATAATTAAGTAAATTAACGCTGTTTTTGCAGTGCTGCTATATCACCAAGTTGGATTGAACAGATAGCCTCGATGACTTTCACCAACGAAGACTGTCGAAGATTTCCGAAGAATTTTCTGAGGGTGACGCGGGTTCTTCTAAATAAAAAAAATACCCAGTGCCTGTGAAAATGATAGCTCAACATTAAAAGAACTAAATTAAAACTGACGATTGAAACGAAAGTAAATATCGGGTGTTATGGCATTAATGATGGTCTGGGTTTTTTTTATAATTGATCAGCCAAAATGAATTAAACCGAGATAAGTGTTTACACATGCTAATCTTATCGTGCATTTGCATACGTCAACTTGAGAACTAAGAAAATTAAAAAGTAAAAGGCCATCTATTTCTTGAACTTTTTTTTTCCGCGGAAGAAATATTTACCCATCACGAGAAATTTCATTAAGAGAGTCGAGCGGCAACACCTTTATACATCAAAAACAAGAGGCCGAGTGAAAGTCGGTTGCTGGCGGTCTACCGACGCCTGTAAGACTTCTCATCGCCTGTGATCAGCTTGCGTGTAGGCTCTCGTGTCGTTTGGGTTTCATTTCGTGGCACAGCAGCCTATAACACAATCGGCAGCCACTTATGGAAGAAGTTATTGAACCCCTGAAAAAATAAGCGCGTTTTTCTTCCTAAACTGTTTTGAAAGTGTCTTGAATGTATTTAGAGCGGTCGTGTTTTGTGTATTCATGTGTATTCATGTTGAAGTCGACAAAGATGTTTGCCAATTAGTGTCTGTGTATTTAATCAAAGCAGTTGTCTTATGCATTGAACCCTTAAACTCCCAAGATCTGATTGTTAATTCTCCCCTGTAGCTGCTACACATTTCCTTATAAATTTGTTATGAGAACTTGGTGCTAGATCAAGATAGCAGCTTCTACCTGATAAGTTTGAATATTCTTATTACCTGTTTGCTGAAGAATGTACGGATATTGTAGGGAGAAGTTTTATGTTAATCACTTCTGGGACTTAAAGGGTTAAGGGTATTTGGTATTATCACAAGGCAACTGACTTGATAACGTAAATTGGCCACTGTATAGAGTTTCAGCTTTGAAACTCTTTACGGTGGCCAATGTACGTTATCAACTCAATTGCCTTGTGATAATACCAAATTACTCTGTTAAACTCTCTCAACGACGCAGCGCCATAGTTTTGTTTTTGAAACTCACCCCCTTCGTTCTATTATGTATTTAAGTTGGAAAAGACAATGGAGGTCGCCAAATCTTAAGGATCATGCATTTTTCGAGAGAATATCTCGACTTCAAGCCGTGATGTCACCCAAACAAATAGGCCATTTTAATTATATTAATATTCGCCAAGGAATACAAATTTTTCAAATGGCAGATAAAATTGTCAGCAGTGGGTGATACGTTAGTTTGGCTTTTATTTACGTACATTTGCTCACAAATTGACAGTTCGCGTATGCTGTACGAAGTAGGCAATTTCTACGTCAGCGAATAAAGCAATTATTTTGCGTAAAAGGATTGTCTGAGGATTTTGAACAAATCTGAAAACAGATTGAAATGGATTCCTTCTTTCTACTCGGGGGCAACAGTTGCGAAGACAAAGCTTTAACAGAAAATATAACCTGTTTCATCTCCAGAATTAAATCTTATTAGGTTGCTGTTATTTATGTCCACATTTTCGAAAGCTTTACCTTCCTTCAAACAAATTACGAATTTCGCTGCGTGTCAATTGATTTAATTGTCTTTCGAAATTTTTTGAGACAAACACGGATGCAAATATATAAATACACGATCTCTTTCAAAGAATCAGTTCAGGTCAGTTCTAGCTATTTTATTATCACTGGCGCTTGATGCTCAAGTGAGATTTTTAATGTTGAAGGATTGATGCATTTTTAAAAGAAGATTTGTTCCGAAAATTGGATATCAAATGAAGGATGACTATAGGACTGGACCACCTGGTCAGCATTCTGGCAATAGTCCACTTGCGATTGAATCATTAACAACAAGATTATTCGTCAGTTAAAACTAGGCTTAAATTATTAAATGAAATCAAGCTTTGAACAGTCATCGCGTTGTTACTTCTTATTTCAAAACAGGCCTCTTCATTCCTAAAATGATAAAACTTTTAGTCAAGCATTTCACAAATTGTATTATTAAAACTGTACACTTTGGAAAAACAGATTATGTCATCGATAGCGTGTATATCAAACGAGACATCTCGTCGCAAAAACATAGCTGTTGGCCTTTTTCTAATTGCATTATGCATAACAAATGAAATAAAACAGACACTATTGACAACATGAGTTTCCAATCAGAGATAAGAATTATTTTTCTGTTGCTTTGGGCCGAAATAAAATCTTGTGATAATGTCCCTTGTAGCTTTTCTGAATTGTGCTCTATACACAGTGTAAATAAATGGATTGAAAGACGATTGTATAAATAGGAAAATAAAACAAATTCTGAAAAATAAGGGACTTGATAAGAGAGGATCTGGAGAATCCACAATATAGCTAAAATTATGCACAGTTTTTGGCAACCAACATATTACAAATGTCATCACAACAATAACACATGATGTTGTTCCCTTTCTTAAACGGGAAATTTCTCTCAGGTCTTTTTTTTGTTGATCTGGTGAATGCAAAGCACCACAAATCTTAGCAGCTTGTTCGTGTTTGTGAATATTACGAATTATCTGAATGTTAACAGTCACAATTCCAATCTGAAACAGAAGCACTGGGATTATAACGACAAATGTGTCATACAACTTGACTTTAAGGTGACGCTGTGCGTTGTCGTCAGTTCTTTGATTCCATGCGTTGCGTGTTGCAGCTACCACGGCGGGAATCAACCACACGGCTGTTAAAATGACCCCTACTCTAAGTCTTGTCATTTTGGCACCGTATTGCAACGGACGGAGAATGGCGAGAAAACGATCGTAAGTAATTGCGCAAATGTTGAGCGTGGTTGCCGCCAGTACGAAGTCTCGAGCCTTTCTTAAAAGCCAACAGTAAGAGGTCAGCGAATGAGGACAGTCTCGGAAACAGTGAACTGTGTAAAAGGGAATAACAAAAGCAGCCATTAGGATGTCCGAGGCTGACAAGCTTAACAGAAACATATTCATGAAACTATGGCGAAGTTTCCTGGACGCTAAGAAAACCACGCAGACGAAACTGTTCCCAAAAAACATGACAATCCCTACAACTGCGTAGAGGACCAAAAAAAACGCCTCCTGTGTTTTGTTGCAGTTATACTCGATGCCGCTCGTAAAAGATTCGCTGCTGTTCTGGTTCAACGAAGCCATATTAATGTTTACATATGTTTCTTGGAAGTCCACTCCAGTGCGACGGCCATGAATTTACTGATTTGTCTTAGCTGCGGCGCGACAAGACTGAAAAACCATCTCCCCGCCAGTGGCGGTTATACTCCGTGTTGAAGTTGGGCACGAGTGATAACGCATGTTGGAGTTGTAATCTTCCAGAAATATCCGGCGCAAACTGGCTAGTCTTCACAAAGTTAATTAGCAGCCTAGTGACAATGTAAATAATAGGTAGGTGTCTACGCCAATGATATGATAGACATCTGGCATTAATGTTTGCTCACTCAGCTGTGACGATTGTCGTTCCGGTTTTGATCTTGAATAAAGCTTCGTAATACTACTCCTCTTTACATAGACAACTGAAAGTTATGGCTATAATCCTTGACGAACGACTGGATTTTAAAGTTAAATTATGAGCGGTCTTTCACCTCAGACATCGCCTTGTTTGTTATAACAGATCGTATGACCTAAGTGCTGCATGGTGCCATTTGGCGTTGAATGATGCGTACGCTAAGTTTCAGTTATGTTTTAATAAAAGCACACAAATTTACAAAGATACGCCATTAATTATTGAAGGCGACAGTTTTTGTCAATACTCTAAATTGAAAATACATTTTAGAAGGTCGAAACTGTTTCAACATTATCTCCCCCTTTTTAAATTTTGATTGGGCTAAAAAAAGCCAAATGAATTAAGAGGTAAGTTTCGAAAGAAACTGTGATGCTGCGTTGGTGGGAGTGTGCAACAGGGTAATTTAATATTATCAATGGGTTGATAACGTAAATTATTGGCCACCGAAGCTGACGTTTCGAGCGTTAGCCCTTCGCCGGAGCCAAGGGCAAATTTACCGCGTTATCAACTCAGTTGATAACCCTAAATTACCCTAAAAATAGCTAGGTCCTTTTTCCTTTCATAATTTGGTTAAAAATGAGTTAAGTACACACATGTTCTGAAAGATAGATAATACAGCCGACTCCCGTTATTGCGGACATCCTCTTGGAGAGATTTTGTGTTCATAATAGCGAGAGTACGTAATAGTGGGGTACGAGACAAAAAATTGTTTTGTCTGTAAACATATCAAATAATAGGCAGCTACGCAAACATAAAGTTTCTAACGTGGCCTCAAGAACCGGAAAAAGATCCGGCCGCCAGCAGGAAAAACTAATTTTCGCACCCAATTGAAGAATGGTTTCTTTATTTTCATTTATCGTAATGTCGCTTTATATCATGCGAGTAGGAATTTTGGACGAAGTGTCTGCTACAAGGAGAGAAAAAGACAAGTGAAATTTCGTGCTGGGGATATGAAAGTGTCCGCATTTCCGTAATAGTGAGAGACTGAAATGATCTTGATCCACCACTGTGATACAGGAAAATTTTCAAGATATATTATAATCTGTCATGATATTTTTAACTGAAGCGGAGGAACGATGACTGTCAAGACAGAAGTACTTGTCGAAACTACTATACCAACTTGAAAACGATAAAAGTCTGCGAATTTATCCATTTGTAGAGCTTCTCGTACGTAGTAAACCTAGAAATGGAAAACTCGCTGAAATGGGTTCTTTTAACGTAATAAGCGGTCAGATAACTAGAAATGCACTGTGAAAGGAAGGTGAGGTACTTTTATTGAGAATTTGACTGTAATTTTTTAATTCCTAAGATCCGTCGTAAACATTCTCATACAAACTCTTATAATTTCGCCACAATTCGTACATGTTTCGCAAGATGCTCATCTCACAGCTGGAGCTTGGGCCGCCTGTTGTTGAAAAAAAAGGGAAATACAAGTTGTTTAAATAGAACTTGGTAACAAGAGAATGTGATTTACATCGTATTAATTGATTTGGAGAACAGAAAACACCGCTAAAAAACGTGGGGTTCCCTCCAAACGCCTTCCAGTGTTGTGTAAACATTACACAACGTGGGAGAAAATGCCAGTAAAATTATGCTAGGAAAAAGAGCTTTGTTTTTTATGGTCAACTGTTTCTTTAACAACTTAGTTATCCTCTTGAGAATGAAGTTGAAACAGGAAATTGAGTTCACAAGTTCCTAGATCAACTATAAATAGAAAAACTTCTGTTCTGTTTTATTCAGAAGATTAATTCAGGACACCTTGAATAGTGCCATAAATAAAGATAATATATTCTGCTTTCGTGAGTCGTTAATAGTAGTTATTCTGAGCTTCCTCGATTATAAAAGATCGAGAGAGACAAAGAGAGGTCACTGCTGACAAGATTGCTATTTCAGCCAATTTAAACACGTCTTAATAGCGCAAAATTGCTGATAGTAAGGCCAAGTTATTTTTTCCTCAAGATTTTTAAGAGCCACTGACCATAAATATCGAGAATCCGCCGACAATCGCAAAACTTCGTGATTCATTTTACTTTTCCTAAAGGACTCTTTTAATGAACTCATTCCAAAGATTATATAAAAAAAGTGCTATCTCGCTGTAATTACATCGAAAAATCGAAGCGTTAAAAATAAACCTAGATGACCGTTGTAGAACAATGAAAATTATGCAACTCTAGTGACTTCATATGCCACAAAGCGATGCGATCTCCCTTTTAAATTTTGTGTGCAAGCAGATAACCCTTTTATCGTTTTGATAATATAAATTTCTTTCTCAGTAAAACAAAACTAATTTGTGTTTGTCGATGGGTATCATAATGATCAAGAAAGTGAGGCAATCAGCCAAAGATGTTTTAGATCTTGATGGGCGACAGCTGGGGAAGATTAGTAACAGTTTTAGCCGCAAATACGTGCTGTGACAGCTTCAAAAGCCACTTTTGTTAAGAATGCTCAGCAAATAGAACGACAGGGCACACATTAATGATGGTAAAAACTTCACTGTTATAAACAAGTTGTTTTTCTCGACGCTAAGACCATTGCACCGATTTCTTTACCGTTTGCACGACGATAATAATAAAAAAAGACATCATTAAAATTTGAGAGATTCGAAGTTGTTTTATCAAGTTGTTCGTATCATTGTGAGTCAGTTTGGGTAAATTATGCATTCAAATTAAAAATTTGACGGATCGAAGCTAAATTTGGCTTAATTTTCATATTAATAGGATGTTGCAGCTGAGCGATGATGTTTTGTTTACCTATTACGGTGTAAAAATTGACAGTTTCCTTGGAGTTCGTTTCATACGAGTCTTTGAAGACTTCCTTTTTCATTTTTCAGAGATACCAATCAATGACAGCAAACAACCAATCATTGCGGAATGCATTGTATCTTATTTCTGAAAATGCTTTGAAACCTCCTACATATTAAAAGTTTTGTTGGCCTCAGTGGTATGGTTTAATTGAGTCCGTTAATTCAAGGCTGACCCACTGGGTATACGCCTTCACGCTACTTTGGATCAAGCTGAATCATCCCTAGTTTCTTAATGACACAAACGGCCGCGTAAACGCTTTTTCCCCAGAGTGCACTCCTGCGCCGCGAGCATTTCGTCGAAGACAGTGGATGAAACCTATCCTCCACAAAGGATCAACAGCTCCTAATTCAACCAATTTAAGCTATCCAAAGGCGAGAATAAAAACTATGTTCTTCTGACTGCTTTACCTCAAAATTGCGATTACCTCCCCTTGTGTTTGATGTTTGATTTTGTAACACATTTGGAAAACGCTAAAAAGTTTAAGTTTTCATTTCTTAAAATAATAGCTAAAATCACTCAAGAAATTAAAATAGCTCGAAACTTAGCATTAAAGAGTTGCTCGTGAATATGGGCGAAATTTAAGGACATCCATAAGTCTAGCGGAACAAAAAACGTGGTTCATTTGGCGTCTTACCGAACGAAACGTTGTCAAATAATAGGATATGCGTTAAGAAGGTTGATAAACATTAAAGCGATTTGCATTCGTTGACTCTTTCATGCTTAACATGTGCTCTAAACCTACATTTTGTGCAAAAATTACTCAGAAATACCAAAATTTTTAAAACCTTTACAAGAATTGCAAAAAGTTGCCTCAAACGCCAAAAGCTGCTCAAAAGTTGCCAAGTACAATCGAGACAGGCCTTTACGTAGCATGTCATGTTTTTATTTTTTCTCCGAAGGCAGGTGCCACAACCGTCATCATATTACATAAATATTTAATTTTTTAAAAAATTTTACTAAGCTAGCTACAAAGTTGCCCTAGAATGTCGATATATATTCACAATAACGCATCTCTGAACAACTGGCTAAAATAAATAAATGTTTCCTTGACAACATGACGTCAAGGATGATTATTATACAGAAAATAAAGTATTGTCCAGACGAAAATATGGAATTAACTAATTGGACTAATGTGTACTCTAATTTCTATGAATAATAATTACTATGGTTTTTCAGAGTCGCGCAAGTTTCTGAGTAATTTTCCATTCGAAAACGAAAGAAGGGCACTCTATATATATATCTATATATATATAGAAGGGTAACCTATGTGTAGATATACATTACGAGGTAAAAGGTGCTTGTTAAACTCGACTAGAAAGCAATGAAGCTACAAAAGATTTTGTTATTGTGCGTTTTGATTCTCGCATTCATCGAGATGGATTTTTCAGAAGCCGCTCGAGGAGGGCGCAGTGGAAGTCGCGGTGGCAGCAGTTCACGATCGCGCAGTACTTCAAGAAATAGTGGATCTAGTAGATCTAGGTCGTCAGGGGGAAGTAACACCGTTTACAAAACCACCAAAAACACACCGATCCCAGCTACGAGTAAGCGTTCGCCGGTCATTGTAACTCAAACAACAAAGGGCTTGCGCACAAACACTTTTACGAAGGTTTTCGTCGGCTATATGGTGGTTCGCTACACTTTAGGCAATGCCAAAGTTTACCGGTACGGGTATCCCATGTACCGAAGCTACGTCATCATTCCCAAAGACCGAGCTGTGAGGCTTGCCTCTGAAGAAAGCAAACTCATGGATGCGGATGGCAGCTTGTGTGTGAACGAAACGAAGAAAGGGAAGATGCAAAATCTAAGAGAGGGAATCGACGAATATTTACTGGAACTCAACACAACAATCATGTACAAAAAAACCGGAGATGTACTCAGACGTACAGGAATCAATCAAACGGTGTCTCTAAAGGACATCAAAGACGAGGATTTTGTGCTCACGAGCAATGCTCGGTACAACATAACCATCGTAAATGGAACAAACTGCACACAACTCGAGAAGAAAGTTGAAGGAACCATGGTGATCATGTACCAAACCAATCCGAATACCGCGGGCACAGTTTACATCAGTTGTAAACTGCTTCTCGCTGGAATTGCGCTTCTTCGTTTTCTTAATATGTAAAGATTCGAATTTTACTGCAAAATAGTTTTACTAGTAATTTGCAACTCGGTATATTTGTATTTTAAAGGTAAATGTTTCTTTATGTAAATAATACTGATCGATATGTATCCAAAAGCAATTTTAATCCAGATATTATTGCAGTTGCAATAACTCAATGATGGTTTTTTTTTTCAAAGCGTTGATTTAAATTTGTAAAATATTTCATATCAACAGTAATATGGTAAATAAGACAAGGCTTGGGACTCTAAAAAGCATCTGTCTTTTCTAGTGATAAGTATGAAATTATTAATAAGTAGGTTTCTTGCTGAGTGACAATTTAAGAACCTTTTCGCGTTAGTAACTTAATAGTCTTTTTTAATACTCTGTTTTTTTTAATATATTTTCACCGCAGCTTTTTTCCTGCGAGTCAAAATAAAATTGACTAGTAAAATTACTCATAGACATTTCAGCCATGACGCTGAATTACTTTATCCCAGTAAAATTTTACTAACTTTTCAGAAACCGAAATATTTGCGTGTATTTTGGTTTCAGAAAAATCTTCTGCAGCAGGTGTAGAGGGCACTTTTTCTTCGGTTTTAGAACAACTTTGAGCACGGTTTTCCGACAAGAGTCTGTTTTTTCGAAAGTTGTTTCTCAGTTTATCCTCATCATGATCCGGCTTTATCTTGTTTCAACATATTCCATATTATTGGCGGTTTTCCAATACAGTTTATAATTCATAAAAATATTTCCTTTGGCGACACTGGCCAGACACACTGTTTTCATTATCTGTCTACAAATACTACTCCGAAGAAAGTGAACCAAAATCAACTAACTCTAGTATCATGCTTACACGAGAAAGCATGGATCAGCAGAGAAAAAAAATTCAGGCTAATAACAAGATTTCCCTTTTGCTAAAAGCACGGTCAATCTTCCTGCTTGCGACGCAGGCTGAAATGTCGAATTGTATTCCCTTAAAAATTAGACTCCTACGTCTGCTTTCGGGCACTTGCGTCCGTTCTCATACGGTTCCGTCCGCTTTCAGCTAATTGCAGTTGTTTTCTGACACCTGGGCCGTTTTTGAAAGTTTCCGTACGACTTCGGACTTTCTCGGCCGTTTCCTGCCAATACTTCCAATTTGGACGATTCTCGGCGATTTTGCAAGTTCGTTTTCTCAGTTTTTCCGGTTTTTTTTAGATTTTTTTTCAGTATGTTTCCTTTCATTTTTACGCATACTTTGGTCTCGCGTTTGTAGAGTTACCGGTCAGTTCGCCGACATGTCTTGGTGTCGGCGAGTTATCATGTCGGCGCAGTGACTGGTTACCTTTGCTAACCACCGTTGTTGGCTTTGTCGGCAGGGCCCAGTCGATTAAAGGGCGGATATCACTATCCGCCGGATAAATCGCTATCAAGCGAATAAGTGTCAACAAAACGTATCGTTCTATCCAAAAAAATAGAGATTTATCTACTGGATAGCTTATTGATCCTACGAACAACCGGAGCCTGGTGAAGACAGCGAGGGCTGATGAAGTTGTCTGAAAAGGAGACTGGGAAGAGAGCTTTTAATGGATAATATTGCATAACAAGATGGCGAACAAACTGAAGGAGATGGGGGCTGACACGGCATTCGCCAGAAAACAGCTCGAGAAACATGGCTGGGCTGAAGGTAGGCAAAGTACTGAATAGTTTGATAATCGAAATTGAGACATAAGGTGGAATGAACTCATAAATATCGTCAACGCATTAAAATGATTAGTGCACATGGACCGAAAGTCACACACGTGGACAGAACGGGAATCGTTGAGAGTTCATTATTTTTGAAGAGCTCACGGCATTCTATTTCGTATTTCTTTTACTAGGTGAAGAAATGATCCTTTACTAATTTTGTGTCGCTTATTTAACCATGTATGTTTTCATTCGCTCAACAAGGGGGGCGTTGGGGCCTATTACAAACCGCAAAACCGTAGAAAAAAATCATCCAAAACCGAAAAACCGAAAAAAAAATCGATTAAGACCGAAAACCGCATGCAAAACTGTCAAAACCGATACATTTTCACATCCCAGTTATTGAAACCCTGATCGATATGATACAGTGGTGACAAGTGGAGCATACAGAGTAAACTACACTAATTTCATTACAGGATTTAGATACTAGAAGATACGAGTGCCATGGACTTGGCATTCGTATCATCTAGTATCTGCTTAAATTAACAACTGTTCTCTCGAGGACCTCGAGTGTGGTCTCTGCGGACTCAGCAGCTAGTAATGGAGCCTACTTAAATTAGGGAAATTTGAACAAAAGTCCTCGATAGGATTGCAATTTTGCAGTGAAAATCCCTAATCTAACGTTTTCATTTGCAAACTAAGACCTATAAGTTTGGAGATTCTATTGGAATGTTGAATCAATCAGTCACACATGACCTGTAACTTGGTCACCAACTTCAAGGTGGCGTTGATAAAGTAAAATCTGGCAATGTTCCGTGCTTAGCTGTACCCTACGTGTAGCCGTACCCTCCCCTCCCCCCCACCATGGGGAAGGGGAGGGTACAGCTACATGTAGGCTACCTAGGAATACCTGCGATATTTTAATTGGTTTTTCATGCATTCCTTTCGATAACATTTGCATTTAGCAGCTATTCAAGATCAGTGGAGGCATGCAATTGCTGCTCAGATTGAAGAGAAACTGGAACCCAAATAGGTCAAATAGGAAAAACAGAAAACCACATCAGATATCAAATCCGAAAACCCATTAGTATTTTTTATGAAAACTGAAAACCAAATGCTAAAAAATGGAAAATCCACAAACCAAAATGAACAGTAAAACCTAAAAACTGAAGTTTTTGGCATAAAAACCGAAAAACCGATCTAAAAAATAGCCAAAACCACAAAACCGAAAATCCTAATGCCCCTTTCCTCAATGCTTATGTTTGCACTCTCAAGAACATCATCAAATGAACTTCTTTTGCATATTATTCACTTATTTATGAAATATTTATTGATAGTGGTTCCTATTTTTCTTACTTTGTTGAGATGGAAAGGTATATAAGAGATTGCATTGTGAGGAAATGAAGGACTCTGCATCTTTCATACATGTAGCTCACTCCCATGAGTGACTGAGGCAGAATCTCTCCTTACAATATCTACACAATATCAAGCAGAAAAGTAATGAGAACATACATTAGAAAAATATCAAGTAAGGAGATTATTAGTGGATTCAATACCAAATTCTCTTAACATAACTCATAAGAATGTATGGTTAACAGTAGGGAGAATTACTAATGAGATCTTGGGAGTGAAAGGGTAAAGGAGAGTAAAGACTGCTTGTCCTTAAGCCTTAGGATTTTTATGTTACTTTCACAGGAAAAGGTCTTGGTAAAGAGGAAAGTGGGATTTCTAAAGCAATCAAAGTCAACATTAAAACTGATACTGCTGGGGTAATGCACATACATGTATATCATCAGTTGTCTTTATTTAGTGTATTTCATATCAGTCTGACAAGTATGTAAGGGGGTAAGTGCTGCGTCATTGGGAGAGTATAACAGGGTTATTTAGTTGCATTTTCAACTGAGTTGATAGCATGAATTGGCCACTATAAAGAGTTTCAGAGCTAACATTTTGAGCATTAGCCCTTAGTCGGAGGGACTTCACTCTGACAAAGGGCTAACCCTCAGCTTTGAAACTCTTTACGGTGGCTAATTTATGTTATAAACTCAGTTGTTAATGCTAAATTACCTTGGTGAGAATGAAGTTATTGATGAAGACCATAGTGCCCTCTGAAAATGAACAACCTCTGAAACCTTTGTCTGGATTGAAACCTTAAAAAACGTAAGATTTGATTTTTTTTTTTATTAGCAACAAAACAGAAGATTTTTTTTTTTGATTTTTGTAATAAAACTTGGCTTTACCAAAGAAGGAGGTGGTTGAAACCTACCAACACTCATAGAAAGAAGTATAAGCGCTGATCAACCCAATTACTTGCCCATACTTTTTAAAACATTTAAACCACAGTTTTCACTTTTTCTTGTAACTGGGAAACAATAATGCATATGAAGTCTTCATGAGCTGTGAAACAGTGTTCTAAAGAATGTATTTGTAAGGGTATTCACCTGATTATACCTCACTCTTTTTTGACAGCAGAGTTTGTAACTTCTCTATCTCTCCCTCCTTGTAATTTATTTATATACTTAATTAGTTTTCTTGTATTTCTCTTTTTTACAATAAGGTTGGCTATGATGCTGGTGATCAGTTTAGTTTCCACTGGTGGGATCATGTCTTCAACAAAACAGCAAAGAGTATAGTGGTACAGGAGAGCAATGTGAGTACATGGAACAGGGTAATTTAGAATTATCGACTGAGTGATTGAAGGGCTAAAGCTGGAAATGTCAGCTTTGAAACTCTTTTTGGTGGCTAATTTATGCTATCAACTCAGTTGATAATACCAAATTACCCTGTTATACTCTCCACCAACACAGCACCACAGTTTCTTTAGAAACTTACCCCTTTGTTCATAAGTACATGTAAATCTGCAGAAATAGAAATGTACCAGCATTTTTCTGCCAAAAGATCTATGCGGGACTTTTTGGCTTTTAGCTTTGTGCCCATTTTGATCTTTGATTGGTCAAAAAACCTTTCCTCATATTTTCAACCCATCAAATGCAAGATCAAAACCAGTTGTGCCTTGGTTATCCATATTTTCCTCTGCTTCAAATTAAAACCAGTACAGCTCTTAAAAAGCAAAGGGGGTAGTGTTTCTGTTTTCTGCCGCTCTGGAAGAGTTCTCTTATCATTTTTAACCCTTTTAAAGAAGTAATTTGACTCTATTTGAGGCATTATGACCACAAGTGTCCAAAGTGGATGGATGTCAACATTAACAAACTGTTTTTTATTGCTTGACTAAGGAAACTGAGGTTTGATGGAGCATCATGGTCACCCTTAACTGGGCCCCAACCGCCTGTTTGTATTATCATCCACCTGTATTGAATGGTCACATAAAGTGGAACCACTCAAGTGGTTACACATAATTATAGCATAAAATGACGTTGTTTTTCAATGCCCCTTGTCTGAAGAAGGTGTATTAAGCAGTCACCCTGCCATTCCTTATGGGTGACCACTTAATACAGGTTTGACTGCATTTTGTATATTTTGTCTAAATTGAAAATTACCTGAATTTATGGTCATTAACAAATTCTTAATTGTTATTTCCAAGTTATTTGCTCTAAACATAAAAAAATTTTGACTTGATATTGAAGTATTGCAGTATTTGGCTACTTTTTTTGCATTATTGTCATACATATATGAGCTATATTTTTGTGAAATGTGGTGAGGTGTTGCGGTTCCCCTGTCATACTGTCTGTCAAAAGCTAGCAGTGTAGAAGTTGAAAAGATCTTCAAGGATTTTCAACATAATATTACAAGAACAACAACTCAAGGTCCATTTATGTATGAACCACAAAAAACAAAAAACACAAATCATATAAGAAATGCAACAGTGTGTCATTTTGTTTTTTTTTTCTCGTCACATGCACAGGATGGAGTAGAAGTAGTGAAGTCTGGTAAAGAATCATGTGTAATTAGTAGTAAAAGACCAAGCAAGAATTCAAACAAATCACTGTTATATGGCAGATTTGTCAAGGTATCTAATATTTGTTTTTGAATATTATTCCTTATTCTCTGCTTAGGCTTAGTTAAAGCCTTTCACTCCTGGGAGAAACCAATGAGCATGTGTAATTTCTGTCAACCTTGTCAAGACATTGCCTACCAGAAAAGCAAGGGTTTCAATAACTTTTTCCATAAGTGGCTGCTAAAGGCGTGACAGGTAGCTGTGTCCAGAAAAGTGCTTACAGACTGAACAGATCTACAGTGAGTCTCACAGGTGGTAGTATACCACTGATAACCAGCTTTCATTGAAACCCCTGGAAAGGTGGTGAAACTGAAAAATATAAACTACAGGATATTGTTGGCTTTGTTCTTAATTCTCAGAAATGTATGGCAGATATTTAGGAGAATTTAAATAGAGATCTTGGGATTGAAAGGTTTACCAAATACTTGCGGAAAGAAAGAATAATGCTCCATTCTTCAGAAGTTACTGTAGATAACTTCTCAAAACATTCACTTCCCAAAACAAAAAAAAAGCATATATTTACTTGTCAAAACAAAACAGAAGCATATTATTTCATCTTGTCATAACACTATAAACAGAGAATCCCTTGATATTTTTCCGAGCAAGACAAAGTCAGGCCAGCAACGTTTCCTCCATAGAGCAGTCAACATTTGGAACAATTTAGACAAAGACTTTAAAGACTTTAAATAGTTATCTTTAACATTATTTTAAAAAAAAAAGTTGAAAACGCACATGTTAGAGAATTATTTTAATTGACCACTTTTTATAATTTTATTAATTTTTTTATTATGTTCTTTGCTGTTTAGTATTGACAAGCCCCCCCCTGGGAATTACTAATAAAGTATATATGTATGTAACTCTCAAATAACTTATTTTCCATGTGTCAAATATCAGATTGTCACAAAAAGCTATTGCAAATACATTTACTTCCCAGTGGCTTTTCCTACTCATGCACATGATCAGAACTATTGTTTTGTTTCAGTTGGCTCTCAATTATTAATTTTGCTTTCTGTCTTTGCAGGCTTCCAGTCAAACTCCAAAAAGAGCACTCTCTGATTCTGAGGAAGACACAGATGAAGAACGCGATTTCTCAAATTTGTATGTTAACTATATTCCTTGTTCTATTCTATTTATTGTCACTCTACCTTGATGTTCCAGCCCAGCAGGAATTTCTCTTTTTCAAAGTCATCTTCATATACGTGAAATGACATTAAATGACACATATTGATAATAGCTGTTTTCTGTTCAACCACACAACTGTGAGGGGGTCTCTGCCTTCATGGGCAGAAATTTAGGGTCACTCAAATGTTCTGAATGGGTTGCTTTTCTTGTTTAAGTGAATGACTGACTTTGCCACCTTACTCACGTGCCTCATAGCATACTTGAATTGAAAACTGTGGGTTGTTCATTTTGAGTCACAAAACACCACTGAGACACTGAAGCACGTGTATGTAGGCTTCAAGAACTTGCTGTAAAACGTGTGAAAACACTGCATTGAGGGATAAAATTTTTCATATACTTTTCAAATGCTTTTCCTTTGCCTCTTGCATGGCAAATTTCGCTTGCATGTGAAATTTTCAGGTGAAATAAGATTTAAAACCTTGTGAAGACTATGCTGAGATCTTACCATGATTGCAAATGACTGAATACTCACAAATATGCGTGAAATTCACCAAAAAGATCTAGGAATATAGCTGACGAAAAACGTGATGAACTGGCTGCATAGTGACCGGCTGTCAGCTACTTTTGACAACCCTGCCAATCCCACTTTTTTTTTTCAGTCCTAATGATTAATTATTGTAATTTCTTTTTATACTTTTAGAAGCACCGAGGATAAAGTTTTTCAAGCCTGTGGCGGTAGAACAGCTCACAAGTAAGCGAGACTTTCGTAATGAAGCTTGGACTTATTAAAATTGTAATTTACAATGATATGCTTATTGATAGGGCGTTACAACTTGAGCCAGTGATACACTTGGCGACTTTTATAACAATTGGCTAAAATCGCCGGGTATGCCCGGTGCAGCGATTGAGATTTACGCCGATCGCCGCGATCGGGGCAGAAAATTGCTGATATCTGGCATTTTGGATACGGGTAACTTTAGCTGGTGATGTTATCCGCCTCGATCGTTGAGAAAAATCGCCAAGTATGTCACTGGCTTTAGGCTCTAAT